CCCCCGGTGGCACCCTCTGGCACTGCAGGTGTAACTCCCTCAGGTTCTGACATTTGGTTGTCTGTAGGACACTGTATCCTCTCAGTCACCACATGACAAAACAAGCACCATCAACCAGCTCCTCTGGGTCCTGCGTGGCGGGTTTGAGGATCTGTCAAGTAACTGATACTGTTTTTTAAAACCAACAGCTTGGAGCTTATGGCTATGCTTTGAAGAAAACTGCATGTGGCATTTACACACACAACAGCCACTGATGTGTGACAGCTTGTCCTGCTGCTTTAAAATGTGTTGGCTTTTCAAATATGCCAGTTTAATTAATCTTTCTGTTCTCAAGGAGTCTTCAGAGAAGTATGATGTAAAGTCTCATAAAAAATTCTTTATATCACTTCTTGCATTGAATAGCTTCTTAAGGCCCCAGTTTTTATAATCCAATATTTCCCTGTTAGTACTGAATTTTGACATTCTTATCTGATTGATGAAAATTCTATGGCAATATCCTTATAAAGATGTTCTGGCATTACAGGGTCACCTTTCTCCAATGGAATAGAAGACAGGATCAGTCACATATCATGTTGGGTCAGGAACCTGGCGTAGGACCCAATGGGGCTGAATGGCAGAACTCTCATAACATGCTTCTATGGAGATTGTCTAACCTGAGTTTCTTCAAGATTGTATCACATTGTGCAAAGACAGAGGTCCAGAATGGAAGCTGTGCTAGATGACACCACTATTTTCAAAGCAACCCAGTTATTTGACAGTAAGAATATTTGGTGAGCCACTAAACAGGTCAGTATATGTCAGTACAGTACATCTTGCCCTTCCTGATGATATAATTTGCTGGGTTGGGGGGGGGTTCCCATGGTAAAATTTGCTGAGGGGGTACAATTTTTAATCTGTGTATTCAAGCTCCCCCCCCCCCGGGAAAGTGCCGAGCAATTGAATCTGCGGCAGAGGAAGAGCATTATTACCACGTGAGATAATCCATTAGGCCTGGTAAAACACTGTGAGAGGAAGGAGATATGCAGATAATAGTCTGTCCTGTCAGTACTGGAATTTCATTACAGGGATTTTGATAATAACGGGAAGGCAGAAGCATCACTAAAGCTGTATTTGATTAATTTTATTAGTCACCATGGCAATATTGTAAGGAACACGTCCATAAACACACAGAAAGCCCAAACAGTGAGAACAGCCTGTTTCTGCATATATATATATATAAAAGAAATCAATAGTCCTGTTTTAACAATGGCTCCAAATGTTGGGACAACCAGATAAATTATGCAGCATATTACAGTCAGTATGAGAAAAAACAGTCTCATGCTTTTTAAGAAGTTCTCATTCTGGATATTTGTAACAGTCACAATTATCAGTTTGAAAGCATTATGTTTTTCATTAACGCTTACTGATCACTTTAAGAACACAGCGGGCAAAATTGTAACAAGTGCATCTGCATAATTTCACTGTAGTCATCATTCTCTTTTTACAAAAACAATGTTAGTTTTTTTTTTTTTTACATAATCATTTGGTCTAAGTGTCCCTACCCTCCACAAAATTCAATTATGTGGGAACACAGGTTAAGAAAAAAACAGACATATCATGTTTAATTTAGACACCATAGCAGAACAGCCAAGAAAAAAAAATATATATATTACATATATAACCAGTTTCATTCACAACGTGTTTGTAAAATAATGTATTTTCTAGGTAATAAGTCATTCACGGCTATTGCTAATGAAGAGTTTGTGATACCACACAGTGTTATTTTCAAGCCTATTGAGATCCATCATAGGCATTTATTGCATACATAGACAGGGGTAAACAGCATCACTAACAGACTTTTCCATGAAGACTTTTATCCCTGGTTTCCCAGCAATGCCAAATACAAACAGTAAGCATATACAGTAAATAATCAAAATTAAATCAGATTAAACAATCTGAGGCAACTCAGCCAAACTGTAAAAATGCTTGTTTGTTACTCTCTACTCCAAAATTGAAAGACTATCGTGGTTTTATGATGATGTTAACTTTTAATAAGGCATAGGAGTTAAAATGAACAATTCCCAGTTCAAGGGCGGGTTAAACTATTTAAGACATGGATACTCTCCACCACACGAGAGGAGCCTGTTTTTTATGATCTTGGAAAATTAAGACGTGAAATGAGTATTATTAAGCAAACTCAAACATGGCACACAGGACAGGCTGCTGGGTCCTGGAGTGCCACAATGGAGAAACCCGACGGTAATGATCAGGAACTGCAAGATTCATTAGTGCAACCAAGCTCACTCACTTCACTGAAAGATGAAGGGGCCCCCACCGGCAGGATCGTCTGACATTACATCAGGCATTACAGGAGCGTTAACCGGCGAGGATTAAAGAGGAGAGACAGGCCAGAAGGAGGAAACAAAGCTGTGAGGAAGATTAAAGTCTGCAGCGGGCACAAATATATCACACTGCTTTCATCTCCCCGCTTCAGTCCACAGGAATGCGTATGTTCACAGAGGAGCTGGCTTTGAAAACACTCTCTCATCAGTCTGACAAGTCAAAACGTCTGTCACACAAGTGGAATGGTGGAATAACATTTGATTAGGTTTAATGAGTGGCGTTATTTTCATATTAAAAGTAGACAAACCCCTTTCATAAGTCTATAAAATAGCCAGGGTGTTTGTCATGCTTTACTTACATTTCTTTTAATATATATAGTAATATATATAATTTCTTTTAATATATATAATATATAATCTTTAATATATAGGATTAAATGGTGAATATGTGTATGTTGCCTGTAGTTTTACACGTATTTGCTGACACTTATAAGATAGACCGATGATAGACCTTTAATTCAGGGGTCAATAATCTGCCATTCATTTTCAAATTGAGTGTACTAAACATTTTTTCAAGATAGCAAACTGTACTTTAAATATGTAATTCTTTTCATGTCTTCGCAATAGGAGGTACCGTGGTTTCACTGGGTAAATCAAGCTATTTGATTGACAAAATTGTGGGAAAAAATTACTGTACATCTTTTAGTTTTCTTCATAATCAGTTTTTAACTGGTTTATATTGCTTTTGCTTAAATGAACCTTCCCATGTTATAACATGTTTTTCCCATGTTTTTGGAAGTCCAAACCACAAACCCAGGATCTTCAGAGGGTTTTTTAAATAGAGAAGAATTGATCAGTTAAGTTCCGGAATTGAGAGCTTCCCCACTACCACCAAACCCTTGATTACTCGCCATTAAACTTGGGGCCTACTTAGCACTCAGGTCTACTAGGAGGTGCTGATAGGCCAAGGAGTCACCCTTAAAGCTGGCAGCCAATAGGATGTCTTTGTTGTCAATGGACACCAGGCTAAAGGCCCGGGGTGCTCTAATGTTGAGCTCCTGGAACGGCTGAAAGCGTTGGGCAAGTTCATCCCACAGGTAGACCCTAGAGAAGGAAAAATCGCTACCCAGGAGGAGGTACTGGCGTGGACCAACGGTGAAGGGGTAAACGGACATGGAGCCTCTGGAGGGGAGGGTCTGAATCTCCACGAAGCGCTGGGGGTCCCAGCGCAGGATCTTGGAGTCGCCGATGAATCTCGTCAGGCAGAGGTAGAGCACCTTGCGCACCCAGAAGTGCTTGACCATCTGCACGTCTGCTGTGCCGGTGATTTGGGAGTGAAAGGCAAATTGCCGTTGGCTGCGGTTCCACTGATACACCACCGGGGACTGCGAGGCGCTGGACAGGATGACACGGGGCTTGCCGTCTACCTCCAGGAACTCCACGTGGGTGTCACGGTGCCAGGGGTGCAAGGACTGGTGAGAGTAGAAGCCGTTGCGGTTCCATCGGTACAGGCTGGTAGTGCCCGCTTTGGAGCTGTCAGCCACAGCGAAGTACCAGTCTCCTTCCAGCTGAAAGGTCTCCACGAAGTTAGGCTTACGGACACGGGTGGTGTCGATGTCCTGAATCTTAACGAATCGCTGAGGGTCCTCCTCCCACCTGCCAGAAATCGACTGTTACATTCATGGGCTGAAACTCTCATGCTCCGAAGATTATTCGGATTCTTAGTAAATTATTTAATTGGATAGACACAAAAATGATCATTTTAACGTCA